GTCCAAATTTAGCTAACGACCATCTGTACGTTTCGAAAATATATACATGGCATGAACACATCGAAGACAGTCGTGCAGTTTCAGAGAAAAGTTAAAAAAAAATGTACAGATATAATTAATAACAAAAAATGTATCGACGCTTCTTCTCGACCGATAGCAATAGATTAGGTATGCGATAAGCGATAAGATAATAAAAAAAATGTTACTTTTATATTACATTACCATAGATACGAGTTATTTCTTATTTGGCTAACGGCATTCGAAGACTGGTTTGATCTTAGTCATTGTTTGAGGGCTAGGTATTTATTCAACTATTTACCCATTACATGCACTTGGAAATGACGTTTTATCTTGAAATAATAAATACCTATATTATACGATAATTCTTTTGATAGAAAAACGGATAAAACTCTTCTAATTGATTTATACAGATAATGTTATATCTTTTTGTTTAAAATAGGTATATGATTCAATATTCTTTTGGTAGAAAAAAGTTAAATACTTTATTGAATGATATGAAGTGTATCTATACTAATATTTTTAAAGAGGTAAAATTTGTAAGTTTGTATGTAGGGGGTAATCTTTGGAACCGCTGGTCGGATTGCCAAAATTCTTTCACTGATAGATAGCTACAATGTTCCTGAGTGCTATAGGCTATAAAACATCACGCTACGATCAAATCGAGCAGCGGGTGAAACCGCGCGAGAGTAGTTAGTTTGTTATAGTCAAACATAAGAAACAGTAATGCTTTATTTTTGAAACAAATTTAAGTTCTTCTCATAAACTGTTGCAAGCATTCTAACAAAATTTATTCGTCTATTCTTCCAGGATTCATTCAGCAACGTGAAGCAATGGTTGGAGGAGATCGACCGCTACGCGTGCGACAATGTCAACAAGCTGCTGGTCGGCAACAAGTGTGATCTCACCACCAAGAAAGTCGTCGATTACACCACAGCCAACGTAAGTCACCATTATTTTACTAACGACTAATGAACAGACAAAGCACTTGATGGTAAGCAGCCGTCGCAGCCTTAATGAGTGTGCAACACCAGGGTAGTCCAAAGTACCCTAAGCCGTTGGAAGTAGAGAAATTGGGCCTCCTTTATATTCTAACCTAACTCGCATAGTAAAAGATGCAAGCATTTTTTTTTTATGTAATAGGTCGGTATACGAGCTGACGGATTACCTGATGGTAAGCAATCACCGCCGCCCCACTCGCAACGGAGGAGTTACGAGTGCGTTGCCGACCTATTAGGTATTAGGAATTTGGAGATTGAGGGATTGGGCCTCCGGCTGTTTCACGCCGGTTTCTGTGAGGCCGTGGTATCACTCCGGTCGAGCTGACCCATTCGTGCCGAAGCATGGCTCTCCCACACGTTTCATGCTGCTTTTCCGTGAGGTGATGTCACTTCGGCGTACCTGTCCCATTCGTACCGAAGCATGAGATCCTACTTCGGTACGAATAGGATTAGAAATTATTACTTTAAAGTTTTTATTAAGGAATAAACATATCAATTACCAGTTAGTTTCTTCGCAAAATAGTTAGGCAGATAAAATTAGTCCATGTGGGCGATAGGGTCACCAATAGTCACCATATTACATGGAACTCCTAAAATAACTAGTACAAAGTAGATGTTATTATTTTATAAGTGCCTCTCTACCAAACCCTTAATAGTTGGCATGTTGTTATATAATAAATGAAGAAAGTGTAACATTCAACATACATACATGAATTATTTTGTATAACTCCATGTTTTTTTTTTTGTAGATTTTGATGTAGTTTTTTGTTACAATGCAAATTAATAATGTTTATAATTATTTATTTACTATTCCATAAACGTTTCGTAAATCGTCGTAATCATCGTAATTCGAATTTGAACATTACGATCTTTTATAAACTGCGTTGTTCTCGTAGAAAGTGCGTGTTTACATTTAATATATTATAATCGTAACAATCATAGCAATTACGTAGTTAGTTTATTAGTGAATGATATAATAATATTATTAATTTAGAAATAGCTTCGATTTATCACTATCACTGATTGTTATTTAGTAAGGCGTTGTCAAGATTTTGAAATACGTATTTGGTCGAGTGTCAACCTCCAGGGGCGCTGGTATTCTTGACTGGGTTGGTTGAATGAAAAACTTGTGATTGTTAAGACTGTAATAGGCACTGGTCCAATTTTATGTAGCAGTAACATTAACCACACACACCACAATTAAAGTATTTGTGTCTAAGAACGAATCAAAAGCATAGCAAAAACTATAAATTTCAAAGAGCAATGTTAAACGGTGCAGCATTTACCGTTTGTCCTACTGCTGCTGCATTTTTTTTTTCGAGCCTGAATTCAGTCTCCCACACTTATAACCGGCGAGTTGTAAAAGGTTGGGGTTTGGCAAGGTAGAGCCACTGTTCCATCTCCCCTTAGCACTTCAACTCTCTTGAGTCTTATTATCGGGTTTGGCGGTAAGAGCATTCTGGATAACGGGTATGGATGAGTTGTCATTATCAAGCGGTCCTTGTAGTCGGTTGCGTATCATTTGGTTTCATCAAGTAGTTGGGGCAAAACACTCGGATCGCAAAAATATAACAGTATTTTATTATTTTTCAACAGCAATATGCGGAACAGCTGGGTATTCCATTCTTGGAGACATCAGCGAAGAACTCGACGAATGTTGAGCAGGCGTTCATGACGATGGCGGCTGAGATCAAGACCCGTGTGGGCCCGCCTTCCACCGGGGCCGCGCCCGTCGGCGGACAGGTCAAGATCGACCAGGGACACCCTATCGACACCGGCAAGTCTTCTTGCTGCTGAATACGCCGCCTACGGTAAGTGTATTCATTTTTTATGTTATAACATTTTTTGGACCGCGACTCCGTTCGCATGGAATAGTGACTTCCGGCAATTTTTTGGTATAAAAACTTTTCCTTTTTATGTCCTTTCTCGAGTTCCAAACTATGTCTGTACCAAATTTCACAAAAATCGTTCAGTAAGTAGTTTAGGCGTTTACCCAAATGTATAAGCAGTCAGTGAAATAGCAAATTCTTTGTTCACCTAACAAATCATTCATTCAAATACGTTGGCGTTCGGCGGCCACTGCTCAAAGGGATGTCATCCCCAGGTGGTGAACAAAGTGAAATAAGCCAATCTCTATGTAGAAACGCACTGTTAGGTGCCAAACTTATAGTACTAGCATTTGAGACCGTTTACAACGCCTTCTAGCATCCATATTAGTATTTGTAGTTTGCATTATCTTTATAAGGTCCTGATGAAATCAATGACCTCAGTTTTTGAGTTGTTTCTTTTTATATAAATTAATATTCTCATATTTTTTTCTTAGTGGTAAAGATAAATAGTTAATATAGTTCAAGTTTTCACTTAAAACTGGTACCATTTTGATGGTTATTTATCACATATTTTTCAGTTTATTTGTTTTTATCTTCAGGCTGGCGGCAAGACGTACGGGAAGCGGGAGTCGCGGGCGCCGGCCGCCACCCCTACACACAAGAAATGCAATTACCACAAAACGTTTCATCATCGCATCATATTGATATAATTATAAATAATATTATAGCGAGCCGCGCCGCCCACTCCCGGCGCGGCTCCTAAGCTAACTTTCTGTTAAGTTGCTACTGTCCGATATCTTGTTAGTTGAAACAGGTGAAATGGAAGGGTGTATGTTTATACATGTTTATATATAATGAATATTGTAGGTTAATTTTGTGCTGTTTCCACTATAAGAATTTTTGATGGAGGTTCAAATAACTGAGAGCCAATGTAGATTGTATGAGAGGGAAAATTCACAAGATTTATATGATTATTGTAATGTAAACGTTTATTTTAGCTTTGTCTAGTGTTTCTGTGCGTCGCTCGCGCACTACGTCACTGGTTACTGTCACCTAGTGTAAGTCTCGTCGTGTTCAGCTTGCTTGCGGTGTGCTCGTGGGCTTGCGTGGCGTAGTGTCCGGTCGTACATGAGTTTATCTCTCAAGCTGTCCATTACCAAGTGTAGGCTAATTTCCGTTTATTCCAGCTTGTGTTACATTTAATTTCTCATCACTCGAGGTACTAATAAACCTTATTGTATGCACTGGGTGTTTATATTATTCGTTCTGTATAACATAAGCTGGTGTTGTGTGGGAGATCGCTATGAATTATCCATTGTGTGAACACACATGTTATGAACTACTCCAGGAATGTCGGCTCGTTTCAGTATGGGACCATTTCGTTATTGCGATGGCCGCAGTTTGCATTTGTCGCCATCAACCTATCGCCCTCGCAGCCCGCAGAGTTTACGTCGCAAACTTACAAGTTTTATTGGTTTAGGAATGTCTCCATCTCCCACACAATAGCAGCGTTTATACCACTATGTATTTATGTACGGCGTACTGGAGTTACGCTATATAAACATTTTGTGTTGATATATTTAACTGGATCGCAAATTCTAACACAAAATTGTAGATATAGCATATTGGCCTTAGATAATTAGACAGATACTTATATTAAACTTGTAGCCATCGAAGCGGGATCATAGTATTAATAAAAGACAAATATTCATATATCACTCTCACAGCAATTTGTGATAATTTTAAATTTTAACGAACAGTCCAATGTTTCACCTATTAGGATAGTCCCACTCACAATGTTTTCGTCCCTATTTTTCACTTAAATTGTTAAGAGAATTAGGTAAATGATATGAATTTAATACTAATATATGAAACATTAGACTATAAATGGTATAATTATTTGATTCTCTCGTCCTAAACTAACTTGGTTTGTCGTTATTTTTGTACTATTATGTCCGAGATAAGTTTACTTAAATCAAGACCGCTAACCCCCTGTAATTTCTGTATTGAGGGTTTCTTAGAAATTAAAACAGTATGCTATATTTAGAGATGTTTTATTTTAATTGTCCTAAATATCTATAGAACATTCTAGACGCAAACACAAGTGTAAATACTTAGTTATGATTATGTGGAACTTTGCTCTGGATTTCTGTCAACAACAGCAGCGCATCATATACTCGTAGTCGTGGCACAATCCGTGTAAGTTCAAGGGACACTGCAGGAATTCTGGACAGGTCACAGGTAGTTGATCTATGAAGAAAAATACAGACATCTAATTATAAATTGAATAAGTATGTACATATTTTTTTTATTTATTTACTACTGAATTAATACAAGTAATCGGTACACTTCGGTACAATAGGAATGATGCAAATCTTAAACTCGTTAGAGTTTTACCGTGCATCATAGGCTATACATGTTGACTCACAGTACACCCCGTTGACCCCTAGTGTGGAAACCTATAGTCAGAATTTTAATTCGATTCCTGATTTGACATGACCTATTGTCATTTTGTGAAATAATAATACCACATATAACAGTGTAGTGATGAACACAAAAATCGATAAACAATCAGTTTCAGGAAGGCATTCAAAAAATTACGGCTACCGAATGGTCTAAATGCGTATCCCATGTTGTAACTTGCATAATAACTGGAGATAACAATACAAAAAATCTCATATTCAAATAGGTTTAATTATTTTTGTAAACAACACTGAACTAATACAAACTTTGTCACACACAAAACTACATAGATAAAGCCAAATTCCTTGTTTCCATCCATTACAGAACATAGTCGTTGCTCATTAAACTGGTTGAGTCTGAATAAATAACCAATATAACGGATAATATTATGTTTGCCTTAGGCTCAATTCACACCAAAAGCGCGGCGAAGGGCAGCGAAGCGCAGCGACCCGCTCGGTACAGAACGCGCGCGGATTCCCGCGACTGCTCGAGAATTCGCTGGAATGTCGAAGTCGCGGGACTCCGCGCGCCTTTTCGAGCCCGCCCGCGATGAATTCACGGGCCGCTCGCTGGTAGTTTCTTTAGCCGTCAAGCAATGATTCATGGTGGTAGTTTAATATTATTAAAAAACTCAATTAAATATAAAGAAAGACAAGATATTACTTCACTTTCCATTGAGCATACAATTGAATTGTCCTGTGTGGAGCTGGATAGGCATGTTGTAATATGCGTTTATAGACCTCCTAACTTACAGAACTTAAACATTTTTAACTCAGTCATGGAACAAGTTTTGCAGAAAGTGTGTTCAAACAGTAAATTCACAATAGTATGTGGCGATTTTAATATTGATCTCTTAGAAAACAATTCTAATTGTGTTAATTTAGTAAGTCTTTTTAAATCTTTTGATTTGTCTAATGTTTTCCTTGAGCCCACCCGAGTAACATCCACCTCGGCTACATGCATAGATAATATATTTTGTAACTGTAATTATTTACATAAGGATATAATAAATACCTTACCATCAGACCACAGTGGGTTAACAATGAACCTTAACAACATCACAAAGGTGCCAAAAAAGGAAATAATGTTTAGGCAAATCACAAATAAAAGGGTTGAGTTATTAAATAACAATTTGAAACATAAATTATGCAGCCCATCACATGATTATGAAGGTCCAAGTGAGATTTATGACAATCTACTGTCCGTGATTAAAACCCAGTTTGATAAAATATTCCCCTTAAAAAGAAAAACTATTGAGTATAAATTTGTATTCTGTGACTGGGCTACCCCAGGTATTCGTAGAAGTAGGGAAAGGTTATTTGAGCTATATGGTATGAAACCATTTGATACTAGTGAAGCCTTCAGCAAGCATGTGTCCAAATATGCAAAAATATTTAAAACAGTCTGTAAGCAAGCTAAATCACTTTATATTGGCAATAAGATTAAAAATGCTGAAAATAAAACAAAAGCTACGTGGAAGGTAATTAATAACGAGACAGGCAGAAATAAATTGCATAACACGGAATTTAATTTAAATACGGATAATGGACGAAATGTAATCAAGAAGTTGCCCAAGAATTCGAATTTTTTTTCAAGAATATCCCCATTAAAACTACGAAAGACTTAGAATCATCTCCGGCACTTTCTATTAGTCTTCTTAAAAGAAATGTTAAAGAATGCCGTTCTGGCTTCCGATTTCAGTACACGGACCCGCAATCAGTAATAAAGGCGTTTAAAGACATAAAAGTTAAGTCTACAGAGGATCTATGGGGAATGTCTGTTGTGGTGTGTAGGTCTTTTATAGAAGCTATAGCGCCTTACTTAGCTGTAATTTTTAATAAAAGTGTAGATCAGGGTGTTTTTCCAAATTTGATGAAACTTAGCAAGGTAGTTCCGTTGTTTAAATCTGGCGATGACAATGATCCCAATAATTATAGGCCGGTATCAATTTTACCAGTGCTTAGTAAAGTATTTGAAAAGCTAATGCTTTCTCAGATGCTACGACACTTTAACATAAATTCCATCTTTCATGACCAACAATATGGGTTTACCAAGGGTCGATGCACAACTGACGCCGGTGTAGCTCTACTTAAGCATGTTTTTGCCTCATGGGAAAAGTCAAACGACGCTATTGGGATTTTTTGTGACCTGTCTAAAGCTTTTGATTGCGTTGAACACACGACACTGTTGCTGAAGTTGGAACACTATGGCATTCGAGGGGTATCTCTCAATTTATTAAAATCATACCTGCAGGATAGGCAGTTCAAAGTACAAGTAAATAAAGTGAACTCCCAGGGTACTAGCATATCTATGGGCGTACCACAGGGCTCAATATTAGGTCCTTTCCTGTTTTTAGTGTACATAAATGATTTACCTCATTTATTTCAACGTGAACCGGGAATGGTATTATTTGCTGATGACACATCGTTGATTTTTAAAATAAATAGACGGACAGATAATTATGACGACGTAAATAATGCTATAACGAAGGTTCATAATTGGTTTACAATTAATAATTTAGTCCTAAACGACAAAAAGACTAAATGTATACGATTCAGTTTGCCAAATGTTAAAAGTACCGAATGTGACATATTATTAAACGGTAATAAATTGGAATTTGTAAAACAAACTACTTTTCTGGGTATAACCATAGATGACAAACTACAATGGGGGCCCCATATCACATCTCTGGCAGGACGGTTGAGCTCTGCAGCATTTGCTGTCTGGAAGATCCGACAGCTAACAGATGTGGACACTGCAAGACTGGTGTACTTCAGCTACTTTCATAGCATTATGTCGTATGGCATCTTGTTGTGGGGACAGGCTGCTGACATTGAGTCTATCTTTGTCTTGCAAAAGCGTGCCATCAGAGCTATTTACAATCTGAGGCGTCGTGAGTCTCTTAGAGAAAAGTTTAGAGAGATCAATATTATGACCGTGCCATGTCAGTTTATTTATGAAAACATTATGTATGTTAGGAAAAACTTAAAAATATTCGATAAGGTGTCAGATAGACATAATTATCAAACTAGACATAGAGATAGATTATGTCAGCCATTATTTAGATTGGCAAAGGTACATAAGTCGTTCATGGGATTCTGTGTTAAATGTTATAACAGAATCCCAGGCGAAATACAACAATTAAATGAAAGAAATTTTAAATTATGTGTAAAGAAAACTTTATGTAGAAAAGCATACTACACACTGAATGATTACATTGTAGATAAAGATGCTTGGAGACATGCTGGTCCTGCTCCACAGGATAGCAAACGTACACCAAAATAAATAACGTTCCAATGGATTTTGCTTGAACGGGACTTCTTCATTTTAGTGAAATTGCATTATATTGTATAACTATAACTTGATAAATTTGTAAATGTGAGTGCCCTGTAACCTATTATAATTGGTTAGACTAGCAGAATGTCGGTCCTTATAACAGCTTGGAGTTGTCATGCTCACTGAAAGGTCACACTGGCGGTGGCATGGGCACTGGATCGCTTAATTCCCTATAATATGGTTGAGTTGGGCGATGCTGGTGTACGTGTCATGCTCGTGAACGAGCGCCGTCAGTTGGGACTGGTCAGCTCCAGACTGTCTATTGTCCTTAAGGTTACTTTATTTTTATATTTGAATAAATATTAGTGTTACACTGTTCTCACATAATTGAACCAACTGTTTGTAAAAGGAATCTGTATGTGAAACTGATTTAAAAAGAGTAACCATGGAGTTTCTTGCTCGTTCTTCTCCATCGGAATCTACACTTTGGAACGAGCAAATAGCTTCACTAAGAGGACTGACCGACAGACTGACACTATTTTTTTATTTTATATTTTGTTTGACGTTCAAAAGTGCCTGTAAAGGTCTAATTGGAATAAATGATTTTTGACTTTTTTGACTTTTGGCTCTTCTAGTGCAGTTGAGTTTCAACAAAACAAGAGGACACTTGTGTTTAAGCAGTAATATGGGTGTTTTGGATTTAATCATTATTGCACATATAATTGAAGAGGAAGAAGCCGAAGAGATAATAAGAAAAAAGAAAAGATTAAAAAAAAAAAAAGAAACTTTTGGGAACACGCTCGCTACTGCTCGAGCATTCTCGGGAGTTCCCGCGCAGTCGCACGACTCCGTTAATGGAATTCGCGGAAAGTCCCGCGGCGCCGCGGGCATCCGCGCGACTCGTTCGACTTTCTCATGCGAAAATATACATTATAGTAATGAGAATAAAGTAGAAATTCAAATGACACTCAAACCGCGCTTTTGGTGTGAATTGAGCCTTAGTGGCAAAGAACTGCTATAGGGTTTGACTGAAATTAAGTAGGTATAAAAGAACTTAAATAACTAGTTTACCTACCTAATGAATAAGCACAGCCACAACAGTACCCATGTATGATAGCTTCATCATCCTCGCAGCTTCTCGGTGGACAACCATTGCACCACACACCGATCCCAAAGATTGGCCAATTCACTGTAAGAAGGTAACTACTTATCAGAAAACTTCATCATCAGCCTATAAGTGCTCACTGCTGAGCGAAGGCCTCTTCTCACACGGAGAAGGTTTTGAGCATTAATCACCACGCTTGCTCAATGCGGGATGGCGATGTCAAACTTAATTTAGAAATTATAAGTCCAGGTTTCCTCACGATGTTTACCTTCATCGTATAACAGTGGTGTCTAAATAATCAGTCAGAAAACTTAAATAAAGGTAAATAAAATAGTTAAATACCTACTTATATAACAAATTATTTAATGAACAGGATTCCTCTTTAATCACCTTTTTTACCATAGCCATAACCACACGCTAAATACCTCGTAGGTATATACGAGCTATATCGCATTTTATGTGTGCATAGTAGGTACGTAGGTATATTACAAAGTCACTTTCTGCGGGTTATACCTAGATGCGAGTGATTGAAGAGGGAGGTTTGTAAGTAAAATAATATCCATTAAATAGTGGAAAAAAAAATTCAGTATTGCGCTCATGCGAAGCTGGAGCCGGTCACAAGTTACTTATAATACTTATCAAAAACTTACTTCTAGGAGCCTTCTTGACGCCATCTAAGCCCGTAGCAGCAGAAGATTTCCAAAAGAAACCATTCACAGATTTATTAACAACTATTACAAAAACAATAAGTAAAAACGTCCGCTTTGAGTTCATCTTGATTTTAAACTTAGTTCAAGTTGAAGATAACTGCTTTTATAGGTACGGGGATTAAGTTAACGTTAACATTGTTAACTAATTAGTTGTAGGTCAGTGCCATGAGAGATAAGATGATTATTTTCTATGAAATATGACGACTTACTTACATACTTTAGGAAAGTAAGTACCTACCTAGATACGGTACATAAACATTTTAATGGGTAGGTAGGTCCCTAGACATCCCCATCTGAATATTGACAAGCCCGCTAGCATCGGGACAAGAACGAAACTGCACTCTTCTCAGCAACACTTATATACCTACTACGTATTAAAAAAAATTCTTACTGGTATTTTCTGTGTTGTGTTTCACCCAGAGTCAGAATAACAATTTATAGGTCACACAAAGAGTGGTTTCGTGCAGGAAACGAACCTGCGGCAATTGCGGGAGGTTGTATGCCCCGTCCAGACGTCCGCATCAACTGTGCTGACTGCTTCCCTTGTCCCCAATGAAATAAAAATAGCATAGGTAGGTATTTTTTTTTGTGATTCGGCAAACGTGCTGACGGATTATCTGATGGAAAGCAATCAGCGCCGCCCATGGACACCCGTAACAATGGAGGTGTTACGAGCGGTTTGCCGACCTTTTGGGGATTAGAGATTTGGAGATTTTGGGATAGGGGGAGGGAAAGGATTGGGCCTCTGGTAACCTCAGTCACACGGCGAAAAACAACGCTGTGTGTCTATTAGTTCATATAGGTAAGTACAACATTTTCTATTGCATTGTCTTCCAGACCAAAAACTACTCCGACTAAAAATAAAATGCAATAATAATTACAAAAACGTTTATTAATTGCATAAGGTACATCGAACACCATGATACATAATACCTAGATAATACAAATACATAACACTAAATAGGTACATGGCGAGTGTTGAAGGCGTACACTTAACGTGTTAATAACAAAACAATTTTGGGAGATCCAAATCATATCACAGATTATAACATTCATACTTTTTAGAAAAGTAAAAATAATTTATGGGCCTGTTTCACAAGTTCTAAAAGAGAATAGTAACCACATAAATTTGAATATCGAACATAATTTGGTTTATGTGTTATGTGTTCCATTCTTAAAAATAATAATATATAATTTTAATTAATATTTTTGCCCAAAACTTAATATAAATCTAGTAAGTGATTCTTTTCTCAGTAGATAGTGTGTGGATAACTATTTATTATGTTCTAAAGTACTAAAATTTCATGATAACTTGCCGGTGACTAAATACTTGAAACACTAGTGCCAAATCAATTCAGTTGAGTGAAGATTAACAACAACACAACAACATCATGACTACCATAAATGATATAGCTGAGACGCAGCGCATTGCAATTGCCTCTTTGAACCAGCGGATGGCAGATTTTGAAGCACATCTGAAAGCATCTTCTCCAGGAGCGGACTTAAGTGGTCTCACTAAGGATTTCAGCACTTTTAAGGAGCATGTTTGGAATGTTTTTACGGTATTGCAAAACCAGATAGCAGAGTTTAGCCAGAGCATTGATGTTATAGAGATGCGTCACAGGAAAAAGTTTCTTTTGCTTGGTGGTGTCCAAGAGGAAACTGATGAGAGGCCTACTGATGTGGTGGTATCCATCTTACAGAAGCACCTGGGGTTACCAGACATAGCTCCATCATCTCTCCAAGTGTGTCACAGAATGGGGTCTGCATCTGAGGGACGTCCTAGACCCATCTTGATTAGGTTCTTGGACTCTGCTTACAAGAACCAAGTGTGGAATACCAAAACCAAGCTCAAGGGAACATCGTATGTACTTTCTGAGTTCCTAACTCGTCGGCGACAGTCTGCCTTCTCTGCTGCTCGCAAGTTGTTTGGTGTAAATAATGTATGGACGATGGATGGTAGCATTAACATAAAGCTGCCTGATGGTAAGCGACGTCGGGTCTACAGCTCTGAGGAAGTTCTTGCTTTGGGCACAGAACATGGCAGATCGATGAATGGCCCAGAAGTTAGACAGACTGCAAAGGTCGGTTCGAAAGGTACAGAAACATCGACAGCGCCAGCTGCGTCACGTTCCAGGCGAAATGCTCATAAGAAGTAGTTGTATTCATTATTTTTCTAAGTACAGTTACATTCATATTCTGTTAATACTACCTTTGCTAATACCTTTTATTTTCATACCGCCTTTATATTATTGTGTTTATTTTCACTGACGTTGAGAGTAAAGTTTTTGTCATTTTTGTCTGTCACTGTCAAAAGTGTCAAGCATGTTTTTGGTCCCGACTGTTTTGGCGCCTGGTCTTTTAGGCAGCATAATTTTCATTGTTTTTATTTAATTTTATGTCATCGTTTTTGTTTTATATTTTTTTTTTCTTCTTGGTTTTATGTTACAGTCAACCGGCAGGTTTATTATTATGCACATTTTTATAAATATATTATTATTGCTCCTATTTTGTCATATTAGTTGTTTTAATTTTATTACTTAGTTTAAAATCTATATAGTTTATATTATATATTTATGTCTGACGACGATTCTTTTATTACGGCATTCAACAGTTCTGCTGACTCATTTTCCTCCCTTGAAGACAGCTTGCCGATTAACCGAGTTTTGAATGAAGCATGTCTAAAATACCGCAAATGTTTAAATGTTTGCCACATTAATGCCCAAAGTGTTCCTCAACATCATTCGGAGTTGATGGACATGTTCTCTGACACTTCTTTCCATGCAATATTGATATCCGAAAGTTGGCTCAAACCTGAGCATCCTTCTACATCGTACAGCCTACCCGGTTTTGTACTAATCAGAAATGATCGCACTGGAAAGAGGGCAGGGGGCGTGGCAATATTTCTTCGCAACGATATCCCATATAATATTATTTTCTCTTCTACTTATGTGAGTGGATGTCCTGAATACTTGATTCTAGAAGTTGATGTTGGAGGAGCTAAGGCTGTTCTTGGAGTTGTTTACTGCCCACCTGCTGTCAATTATTTTACTCATCTAGAGATTCTTCTTGATTCTTTCTCCTCAGAGTACAAGCATCACATTATCATGGGTGACTTTAATACCGATCTTTTGAAGGCTGGACCGAGGTCGCGTGGGCTGCGGTCGATCCTGGAATCGGCGAACCTGACGCTTCTCCCTCTAAATCCAACTCACTGCAATATTGATTCCGATGACTCCTGGTTAGACCTTATGCTTGTGTCCTCCTCGGAACTCGTGGCTAATCATGGACAAATTGCGGCTCCGGGATTATCAAGACATGATTTAATTTTTCTGTCGTACAAAATTAAGCCACCGAAGCAACGCCCAGCTCTTGTATATATACGGAATTTTGCAAGGTTGGACAAGGTCAAACTCAACAGCGAGGCACAGTCCATTGACTGGACAAATATGTATCAATCCAAATGTATCGATGAGAAAGTTCATCATTTTAGTCGGGCTATCGTGACGCTTCTTGATACATACGCACCATTAAAGGCGGTCCGTGTTCGTCGTCCACCCGCTCCATGGATCACACCGGGAGTTCGTATGGCCATGAGGCGACGAAACAGAGCTTTCTCTCGATATAAACGAGATCGTAGTGACGAGAACTGGAGTCAGTACAAGTTGGCGAGGAATCGGTGTAATGGGATGGTGAGAGCTGCTAAACGCCGATACATTTTTGAAAATGTTCAAAATTCTTCTCAGGCTGACATATGGAAGTTTCTTAAATCTCTGGGTTTTGGTAAATCATCAGGTATTACATCTTCAAATATATCCCTCGATGATCTCAACCAGCATTTTTCGACCACCTCTGGTTTAGCGGATAATATCAAACAGAGTACTATTTCCGAGATCACTTCCAAACCTGCGATGCTGCCTGCAACCTTTTCTTTTAGTCCCGTAAATGACCTCGAGATCCGCAGAACCTTCGCATCACTGAAATCCAAGGCCATCGGCTGTGACGGGGTGGGTCGTACCATGATTGCTCTCACCATTGAGCACCTCCTTCCCATACTTACTCATATAGTAAATTTTTCATTGTTCCACAGTGTATTCCCTTCAGTCTGGCAAAAAGCCTACATTATGCCCATTCCGAAAATTCCAAATCCCAATCAGGCTAGTCACTACAGGCCTATATCGATTCTCCCCTACCTATCTAAAATCCTTGAAACAGTAGTCCTTAAACAGATATCCTCGTACATCTCTAAGCACAAACTCCTGTCCCCTTTCCAATCTGGTTTCCGACCTGGTCACAGCACCTCTACTGCCTTGCTGAAAGTCACAGAAGATGTGAGGCATGGTATGGAGGATTCGCAGTTAACTGTTTTAGTTTTAATCGACTTCTCCAACGCCTTTAATGCGGTTGACCACGATATCCTCCTTGCCATGTTAACTCAGACTGGAATTTCGTCGTCATCTCGGGATTGGTTCTCTAGTTATCTTCGCGGTCGCCAGCAGGCAGTACGCGTCGGTCAAGAATGCTCTGATTGGTGTGGGCTGCCAGCTGGTGTACCGCAAGGCGGTATACTTTCTCCTCTGTTGTTTTCCTTATTCATAAATTCCATTACTAGTCTCCTCACATGCTCGTACCACCTATACGCTGATGACTTGCAGCTGTATGCTCAGGCTGATGCGACTGACTTGGACACTTGTATAGAACGACTTAATGGTGACTTACGTACCATCCAAAACTGGTCTTACAAGTATGGAGTTCCAGTGAATGTAAGCAAGTGTCAGGCTATTATCCTTGGTAGTACGTACCACCTAGCAAAATTGAACGTAAATCGGCTAAAATCGATTCTATATAACGATAAGAACATATCTCTATCTTCTAACGTTAAGGACTTAGGATTATACCTGGATAGTAGCCTGAAATGGAACCCTCAAATAACGCAGGTCTGTCGGAAGGTTACTGCTACGCTGCGATCTCTCTATAGATTCAAAAATTTTCTTCCTCCTACTATAAAAACTCTGCTTGTCCGGTCCCTTGTGCTTCCTGTAATTGATTATGCTGATGTTTGTT